ACAGAGATGTTGACACTAAAGCAGGCAAGTTGAAGAGCTTGAGGCAGACACTGTGGAGGATCAAAAACTCAGGTGATTTCTGTGTGCCAAGGGAAACCTTTACAGTGAGTAGAGATGTGAGATTCTTTAAGAAAAAGTCCTCCTCATTCCCCACAGCACAGCTTCAACTGAACTCCTCTTCACACACTTACCCTTCCCATCTTGTCACAACTTTCTTGCACTTCCACTCAAACACTTTCCTACTAAAAGAAAAACAATAGTGAGCCCCTTCACACTGGGGGTAGTCCTTTTCCACCTCCACAGTGGAAGACAGGACATGATATTGTTTCCACTGATCATGGTGGCACAGGGTATACTGCACAAGACCAAATAAGAAAGTAAAGATATGCAAGTTACTTGTCAGAAAGGTAAGAAACATAGGAAAATTAGGCTCCTCAGGTTTCCTTCTCCCTAAGTGAGTGGGTTAAAATGTTTTTACAACTCTTCCTCTTACAATTAATTTCTATGGATACTTCTAGAAAATCTGCTCCTGAACAACTGCAGTGTTCAGTAACTTTACTCATTAAACAGTTTCAAAAACAGTGTCTAAATGACACTTTGTCTGGATCAGCAATTTTCAAATTTTCTGTCAGTGTCCACACCTCCAGGATAATTTCTTCATCCCTTTGGCACATGTAGTTTGAGAGACATCACACTGGTAGAAGCAAAGCATATGCCCTTCAGGACATACCCCACGAAGAAGGGAAAGGGTGCCTCAGAGAGCAACTCAAAGTGAAGTTAAATTACAGGCAGGAGAAAGTTCTTCAATTAAAGAGTGACAGAACAAAATGTCAGCAGATCAATGGAGCCTATAAGAGGAGAGAAAGCCCATGGCTGGAAGGACTTGCTGAGTCTACTCTCGTCAGAAAACTGCTGGAGAGATTCAGTATCTTCCAGCTATCTTCTTTTGACTCCATGAGTCACCCTCTCCAACCCAACAGCTCCCTCGCAATACCCACGACCAACACCCCATTCTCTGTGCTTTAGGAACTGCAGGGATAGGAAAATGCCAACTACTTCATCCATGTATGGGCTGTCTTAAGTCCAAAACCTGCACTCTCTCAAAACAGGCATCTCCACTTGTTCCTAATAACTGCCTTGGATTTCCTGCCCTGACGCTGTCCTCATCTTGGCATCAAAAAGTTCGAAAAATCTGGAGGTGTCACAAGCAGGTTTTGTTCTAAAGACAACACGCCAGAACCCCTTGTCCAAGTGATTCAGCCACCTGCTTTTCTTTGATCGTGCCCAGTTTCATTGTTCAAAGACCTGCAAGGAACATGAGTCATGTTTGTGTCAAGATACCTGCTCACAGGTCTTTCATCCTCCCTGTAATTAATGTAATTAAAAAAGAAATTCTAAATCTCACATACAAACCCTTATTTTAGACTACTACTCTTAGAACAGATGTTTCAGTCTATGGGCAAAACCTCCTTTTAAAAGCATTCCAGGCAGAAAGCTACAATACACATTCACTAAAAAATGCCAGTTTCCATTCAGGTTTTTTTTTTGCTGTACAGGATGAAGCTCAGCTTCAAAGTCAACATCCTATCTTTGTGAGCTACCCAGTTATCGATAAGACTGCCTGCAAATCTTATGAATGCTAGAAATCATGCTGCCTCTGAACACCTAGCCAGAGCAATTTATTCACCGACCTAGAATTTTACATGCAATACTGAACAACTTTTTCAAAGTTGCTTCCCCAACTGCACAAACATAATCAGCTCACAAGGCTGCTGAAAGCAGCAGTTCTGCCATCTGTCTGCTTATTCCCACCTCACACTTGTGCGGGCACAAGTGTTTGTGAAGCCATGCAACGATCTAGAGAGAACCAAACTCTGAAAAGTAACCAGGGAAAAATATAAAATTATCATCAGATCAAACGTGCAGGCTGGCACAGGCATGGGAATAAGAAAAAATGACATTACTAATTTTAAAGGGCAGTGCCATTTTCAGAAGTCCATTGATGCAGCAACTTTTCACCAAGTCTAGAAACTAAATCTTAAGAACACTGAAGCACACATATGAATTTCAGAAAAATTCAAACAATTTTACTTGATTTGCTATTGTGTTCTTGTTAAAGTAAGAAGTCAGATGAAAAAAGTGATCTGTTGCTTACTAAGAAGAAAAAAAGTGCTTAATGGAAAACATTTCTGTGTTGAGATCTTCACCCCTGCCTCAGTTTCCTCCACTAATAAAACAGAGACGGTAGCACTAATCTGTTCAACTAAACATTCTGCAATACAAATAAACAACATAACAATATTATTACAGAGAGACACAGACAGAATTCAACTCTCTTACAGCAACAAAAGAGTGAAACGGCACAAAGCTGATGTTGCAACCTATAGTGGTCTGGGATGGAGAACAGACACAGGACAATGCACAGCAAAATGGCTACTCAGAGCAGCAGTTCCTAAACAGTTGGTATCTACAAAAGGACAGACATGGATTTGCAAAAGACCTGGGTAAAGAAACTCACAGTGGAGTCTCCCTGCCCTCCTTTCATTATTGGTACTCTGATGAAATCACATGGGAGTTATGAAGAGCATATAGGGAAGACTTGCTGGGGTGGCAGGTTAAGTAGGAATCCACAGAGCTGGGTTGTCATGACAGCAGCTGAAAGTATGCAAGAGATGTATAGATCCTGGGTGTTAGAACAGCAAGGACTACAAATAAGATCATTAATACATCACAGTTTTAAACACCGAGAAGCATACACTACATCTCATTAATGAAACACAGACTACATGATAACCATTTGCATTGGTGCGGGTGCACGAGGGTCTAGGACATACACAAAACATTGTATTCATAAAGTACTGATAAAGCACAGGTTCTCACAGACTCAGTAGTCATGCTATACATAAGAGGAAAGAAGTGACATGCACTTTGGTGGACCAATGCACTCGAGTCTCAGCTGGAGCATGGAAACTCACCACATGAGCTCCATCCCATTTAAAAGCAAAGTAAAACAGCGGAAACTCAATTTCCACAACCCTTTAGGTTAACTTTGCACTCAAACGGACTTGGAACATGCAGCGACTCAGTAACTCATCCCAGCTGAGAGGAAGTAACTTCCTGTCAGAGAGAAGTTACTCCCTGAAGTGTCTGAACTCTGTCTGCAGCAGCACGCCCGCTCCCCGGCGCAGGCAGGCTGCAGGTGCTGACATGCCAGGCACCGCCATCCTGGCGGGTCACCTCCGAAGGCAGTGGGGCACAGACACTGAACAAGAGTGGCCGGGGATGGGAATGAAACAGGCCCTTGGTGGACACTCTTGCAAGGAAGCTTGGGAGGCAGAGGGAGAATGGGAGTAACAGGTGTTTATGTGATCTATTCAAAACTCCGGGAATTTGATGTGGTGGATTACTCAGGGACTCAGGGATGTCTAACATTGGGTGATCTTCAGGAGTCGCTACAAAGCAAGGACTCTGCACGGTTTGAGACCAAAGTAGCCTTTACGAGTGCCTGGCACAGGGAATGTACAAGTACACCAGTGCTCACAAATCCGGGATTCGCACGACAGGGCTCTTACACTGTACTCACCATCCAGCACTGGTGAAGGAGAGGCCCGCACTCATGCAGAACACATGGACAGTGAGAGGCTGACTAGTGAAGGGGTCCCAGTAAGGACTACGGGTGAAATAGGCGGGGAGCGAGCGACTCGGGCGCTACCGAACAGAGCCCGGGAGCGGGGAGCGGCGGCCGGAGGTGGCCGCGGAGCCCGGAGCGCGGCACAAAGGCGGCTGCTCGGAGCAGGGCGCTGCCGGGTCAGGGATCACGGGGGGGAGATGCCACCAGCGCGCCGGGCCGAGAGGGGCCGGGCAGGGGTCACGGAGCGGGCGGGCAGTCGCGGGAGCTCCCCGGGGCGAGCACGGGCGCGGGGAGGGCAGCGCGGCTACGTGGAGCGGGGCGCCCCGGGGCCGGGCCGCGGGACAGGCGCGGGGCCAGGCCAGGACAGCGGCCGGGCGGCAGCAAGCGGGGAAGGTGCCGGGCGGGGATGCGGGAGCCGGCGGGGAGGGAGGAGGGAAGGGAGGGCGCCGCGGCCGGGGGGAGCCGGGGCGGAGACGGGCCCGCGCCACGAAGGCGCCCACGGCGGGCGGTCGCGGCGATACTCACTATGGTCGTTGGTGAAAGCGGGGCTCCGGGGGGCTGGTAATCCGTACAGGTGAAGCAGTAGAGCACAATCGAAGCAGAAGCAGGCACATCTCGGCCGACACCACCATCTTCCTGCGCCGGGCCCGCCTTGAGCCGGGGAGGCGAGCAGCGAGGCGGACGGCGGGAGAGAGCCGGCCGGGGCCCCGCCCGCAAGCTGGGCGGCAAGCGAGCGGGGACAGGGCGCAGCCGGCGGCCGCCCCACCGCCAGCCCCCGAGGCCGTGTCAGGCGGGGCCCCCCGGCGGGGCAAAGCGCCCCCCGCCTCGCCCCCCGCCGCCGCCGCCCCGCCGCAGTGGGAGCCGCCGCCGCCGCCGCCCGGCCGGCCGAGCCCCGAGGGAGGGAGCTGGAGAGTTTCTGGCTTCTTCACCCCGCAGCAACCCCGCGCCAATCTTGGAGGCCGTCCTCCCCCGCAAGCAGCGCGTCCGACCCATGCGGGGGGGCGGCCGGCCGGCGGGGGACGTGCGGCGGCCCCGCGTCCGCCTCCTGCGCGCCCGCTCCGCCTGCACGGGGAGGGGGCGGGAGAGGGAGCGATGAATGAGGAGCGGGAGGGAGAGGAGGGTGGGGGGAGAGACAGAGAGAGCTGCGTTAGAGCGACCCAGTGAGCGGCCCCGGCGGGCAGGGCCGGGGTGGAGGGGGCAGCGCGGCCCGCAGGTGTGGCGGCCTTTCCCCTCCCCTCCACACTGCGAAGGCCGCCCCTCTCGCCCTTCCCCCCGGCACCGCTGCTTTATCTCCTCCTTCTGCCAGGGAAGTGGAAGCAACTCCACCTCGCGGTGCTAAAAAAAAAAAAAAAATAAACCCACAAACCCGAGCTCTGCAGGCGCCGCACGGCAGGAGCAAAGCCCTTGAGATGGTTAAAAACACCCCGCTAAATAATTCAAGTGACCTGAGATGCCTTTCTCTGGGGAAGAGGAGGGGGGGGCTGTGTTGGAGCCGGCAGGCTGGGAGCCTGCAGAGAGTGCTTGGATGCACCTATTAAACATGCAATCGTGATGGCTAAAAGCCACGGGCTTTATGTATATATTATATTTTATATAGATATATATGTTTTTTTTAATTACAGCTTTGGCAATTGCTTCACAACCAATAAATAGCAGCTCAGAGTGCAGGCCCGCAGCTACAGAGCCAGCAGCCCTGACCCGGTGAGACCATGGCCCTGGGTGCCTGCAGCCCGGGAGAGACCTCTAGGGAAAGGAAATCCAGGGAAAAAAAGATGTGAGTTCCTGCTGTCCTCCAGACATCTAAAATTAAGCTTAACAAGCTACAAGGGTGGCAGGGGAAATGTGTTTTATATTACTGTTTTACATTAGCCTCATATATAGATATATCTCAATTTATGGAGAGGCTTGCAAAGAGCCGTAAAGTACTTCAAAATCTGTCTGTATGTATATTTAGAAAATAACACCTCACCCGTCAGTGTTATGCAGCCATCTCTGGCATGGGATGTAACAGCTGTTTAACATAGAATAGCAACACTACAGTATCGAGGAAGACAAGGGGCAAGGACTGCCACATCGAGTTAAAATAATATCGCAAGTTTAGAGAGACGCAGCCGTTACCCAAGCTAGAATGCAGTATAGAAAAAGTTTTCAGTCACAGACTACTTAGAGGCTCAGTTTTACATTTCTTGTTGGAAATGGTTTATCCAATATCCTCATGATCTTAATTTTGGCTGGATCTTAAATTATGGATTTGAAGAGAAAATCCCCAATCACTAGAGGGCTAATACTAATGGGTTAAAAAGCCCTTTGAGCCTTTCTGTCCAAATACTGGCCTAAACTCCTCTTGCTTTGACTGTGAATCATAGCCTGAGGTGAAACAGCTGCAGGGAATACAGCAAACAGAAAGGAGAAGAATTAGATGGTGTGAAGCAGTCTTTTCCATTTTTAAATGTAATGTTTATGTTTGGAGCTGGAGAATACTTGAGAAGAGAACCCAGTTCCCCTCTCTCAAACAACTTGCAAGTTTCTTTCAAAACAAAGGCAGTGTTTTCTCCTTAGGGATTCATTTGTTTAAAATCAGTTAGCAGTGACACCTTCTGTTGCTTTTGGGAAAACAGTTTCTCCAGGTATTGAATTCTTTTTCTAATTTTTTTAACATTCTATATTATTTAACACTAATATTTATAAAAAATATTAAGTAATTGCAAAAGCCTGTGATACACACACAAATATAAATCGTTCACTCCACAGGGACAGATATTTGGAAGGTTCAGTGTAAGTCTCAGAGGTAGGACTTGATATCCTTATGCAATATCAAGACTATTGATAATGCATAGGGATAACTTTTTGATTAAATATTGTATTGTAATGGTCCTTGAATGAAAGGCTAAACTACATGTGTTACTTATCTATTAAAAACACCTTGCTTTTTCCACTCCTGCAGATGTTCTTTGTTGTATTTGCCTGTAGTTGTGCTCCTGTTTTACCTCAGTACAGTTCAAGCATACCAAATCTCCATGTAAAGACAACAATAAATATACAAACACAACTGTGGAAATTAGTGGAGTCAGAAAGACACAATTGTATTATCAAATATCTTGAAGTGGAGAGAACTGCAGACTCACAAAACGTTTTTCATAGCTAAGTGAAAAATTTCTATTTATGTTTGAAGGAGCGTTTATTCTTTGGATAAGATCGTTTCAGTTCACTGCAACATGTGTTTCATTGGCCCTTTGGGTCAGTTAAGTCTTGAGTACCTTTACATTTCTGATTACAAGGAACCCTGAATATGTTCAGTTCTTCTGAACTTCTACAGTACTTCTGTACTTTGCTAACTTCAGCACATTCTCTCCTGTTAGTTGATGACTTTTTGGTTGTGTCTCATATGCAGTCAAATATACTGAGTGAATTCTGTACAAAACCCAAACTCTTTAGCAGTACAAGCAGAGTCAGAATGGAAGTGCAATTAGGTCAGTTTAATTTAGGTGGGATGTAGCTCTCCTTTATGACTCCAGCTGTTTAGCAGTATTGCTCACCTCGTGTTCTAAAGCCCCAGTGATTTCAGTATTGTCACTTATTACAAGTAAGAGATTAAAATTAATGTTTTAATTAAAAATCACAACCATTATTCTTGAAAAGAGCTGTCAAAGAAATTATTCTAAGGAAAACAGAGTTATTTGTAGAAAGATATTTCTCAGTGACCCAAACCTGCTCTGAAGGATTGCCCTTCTTAAACAAGAAAATCAGAATGACTAGTATCTAGGGGAAATGATATCCTAACACACATGATCCAATTCTTTTTGATTCCAAGGTAAAATTTGCACTGACTGTAGTAGAAGTCATATTGTTCTCAAGTGGCCCAAAAGATGATTTATGTTCTCAGTATCCTTCAATCTAGTTAAAAGACAAATCAACCAGAACAAGGAAACTGTGATCCAAAATTGGGCTCCATCGGTAAGCGGGAGTGATATAATCCTTGCCTTATTAGTACCAATTCTTTTAATAGGCACTGTGACAGGTGAGGGATTTAAAAGGGTACTTAAAATAGCACATTTAGGCTCTGGTTCCATGTGCATTTCTGCAGGACTAGTAATGTTGGTTTAAGCAGCTCTACCTCAGCTAATTGTTCTCCTTCCTGCCCCACCCATTCTGTTGTGTTCATGCAGCTGTTTGTGCAGATGTGAGGCAGAAGATCAAGTTGGAAAACACTCTTTTCCCTCAATTATTTTTCAGCCAAATCAGTTCTCCAGTCTGGTTTATCAGAGGGCTGCACAAAAGTCTGTGTTGGCCTGTTGGAGTGGCTACACAAAATTGTGAACTCATGGCCTTGGGCAGTTTAAACAGTGCTATTGAAAAATTAGAAGATGCAGCCTAAAGCTACATTGCACATATTTATGGGGAAACTGTCAGAAATAACAGAAGTGTTTGAATTTTAAATAATAGGTGAAGAAAACCAGTTGAGGAAAGATAAAGGGCCTTGAACAGGAAGGGTATTGGTTTATGCTTGAGACTGTAGAAAAATCAGAGCCAGGCAATGAAAGAAAAGGAAACAGAAGGCCCTCTTTTCAAAATATATAATATTCCACTTTCTTAGAACTAAAGAAAACATTATACCAACAAAAATTCTATAAAACAACCCTCAACAACTTCAAAACTTGAGCTGTGTAAGCAACATGTCTATGGAGTTAGTTATTATTCTAGAAAAGAGTCTGTACTTACATATTCCAAAATGCAAAGGTTAAATTCTGTCTTTGTATCTTTCCATCATAATGAGCTTTTTTGGATGGGCCTGCCATAAAACTGGAAGATTTACATGCTGAAAATTCCTTTGGTCTGAGGAGTTTTCACCCATTGTGGAGCCAGTCTAGGCAACTCTTCCCTTGCCCTGCAGCCTACAAGGCTTTGTGAGTGTAGCTGGGACGAAAGTGGGTTTGCTTGTATTACTGTCTCACATTATTCCCCAACTGTTCTATCATGCTCTCGAGACTCATGTGAGTTTTCCTTAGTATATTCTGCTTAGACAGAGTAGTTACTGTTCTTCAGTACACTCCCTGTCTCAGCTGTCCCCAGGAGAAATTAGATGCAGCACTGAATCTAGGCCAGAAAATGTGCACAAAATCCAATAAGTTAATGAAAGTTAACTTGCACTTGTCTGAGAACAGCAATTGTTCCTACCAGTTAGAGGCCATATCCTGCTATTGTTCCATATATCAAACCCCTATTGAAGTCTCTGCTAAAAAACCTTGTACAAAAATCATCTCAGGATGTGATACCAGCCAGCAGACAAAAAGTCCTCACATGTTGTGTTACTGGAATCCTGGCCCTGTTTCATATTATGAGCTGTGTTATAATTTTACCATACTGTGAATCCAATCTGTGTTATTTTAAAATTAATATTGTTTTACAGACTTTTTTCACTCTTACACAAACTTAGGGTTTGGTCCCGTTGCACTGCAAAACTGGGCATTAGTTTGTTAAAAAAACCACACCAAAACACCCCAAACAAACAATCAAATAAAAGCTCCCACTAAATGAACCTCCCAAAGCAAACAAACAAGAAAAGCAAAAAATCACCACATGTTCTAAAATGTTATTTATGAAAGTAAATAACCTAGGACTGGGCAGTTTTTGAACTAGAGATAAAAACATTAAATGTGTCAGTGGAATCAGAAAAGTTATTAAATTAAAAACTTAAGGTTCAAAGAGCTTGTAATAAATGAAAGGTGAGAGTTGTAGCAGCATTTTAATGGAATTCTTTTCAGTTAATTCTGTGATCTGGAATGCTCCTCAGATATTATGTTAATGCAATATCCTATCCTTTTTGAATGTATTTTTCCATTGTACAGTGGTAAAAGAAGATGTAGCTTACATAGCTGTATTGTCAGTATAAATTCACCATGGCTTCATTGAGGTCAGTGGAGGTACAGAGATTTGTGCTAGCTGATACATTAATAATAAGCCTTAGGACATATTTTTTGACTTGGCTGTTTGTAGTTGGTCTCCTTCACAAAATATTTTCCACCACTGTAGAGCAACCATATGTATTAATAGCATTTCTCACTTCTAAAGATTCAGAGCTTTAAGTGTTTTCAGGTAATTAGAAAAATACACTGGTGAATCCAGTGCAGTCATACAGACCCCCCCAATGAACCCTGGCAACAGTCAAATACAACACAAAAATTGAGGTGTATTAGGAAGAAAATGTAATCATTAATTTTCAAATGAGTGAGTGAATTAGGAAGATAGAATGCGTGGTGATTTTTTGCTAAGAATTAAAATCTGGTCAGGACACCACAATTACGTGCCTGTTTATTCCTAAGAATTGCACTAGACCTTTAACCATCCCAAGCAGCCCACACTTGATTTAATATCTCATATAAAAACATCAAAATGAAACTTTCCTATCGATTTAGTTAATGCAAGGAACAGGAATTTCAGAAGAGGGGAATTTTAACAACACTAATTGATTGTTAACTATGTTAATTGATAAGAATGACAGAAGTGCTTCCGTATAAGGAAGACAACAGGCATACATTTTGTTCTTTTTGATGTGAGACTGTGTTGAGCTTCCTTTTTCAGATGTTATTTAATTTTCTTGTGAAATGATTTGGTTCCTTCTTTTGCAATCTTTTTGCACATGTTATCTCTAGCTTTTGGTCTGAAGGAATTCTGCCTCCATTCTTCTAATGGCCAGTTCTTAGCTCAGGTTCATACTCCCTTGCTCTACTATTTTGCACTGCTCAGATAGCATTGAAGCTGTCATCTCTCTGTTCCTTTCAGAGAAATGAGATATACTGTTCTTTTCTCCAGAGACTGAAGAACTTTTTTCTTTAATCTTTGTGAGCAGTAAAACCTCTGTGAATCCTTCTGCTTGCCCTTTACCATTCTAACTTCTATAATAGAATCTGTGAATCTTAAGATGGCCAAGAACTGCTTCCACTGTTCCAGGTGGGAACATCTAATCACTTGATATTGAAAGGTTTTAGTCTCATCTAATGAAATACTTTGGCTATTGTTTTGAAAGAATGTTTGTTAGCTACAGTAGACTATTTCAGCTTCTAAATAGATGCATGGCACTCATAAGTATTTCTCCTTCTTCGGTATTGTAACATATTGCTATTTATTGATTGTATTTTTTTCCTTTTCCCCTAGAAGTATCAGCATTCTTTATACTCCATGCCCAAATTGCTTAACCTTGTGTCTTCCAGTGCTTCTGATCTGTACATGTCACCCTGAATGAAATGTTGATCCTCCTTTCTGTGACTGGTTTAATAAAATCACTATTTATGTCACTTTGGTGCACTTATCTTCCTCTTTTCTGCTCAAAGAAAAAGTGGACAAATGCCATTTTTTTTTGCCATAAAGGTGCTGGCCCTCCAGCCTATCAACTTGTAACTGCTAAAAGCACTAAATACATTGTCTTAAAAGAGACTTGAGATATAAATAGAATGTTAGTTAACAGCAGGTGTTACCCTCCGTGGCAAAAAGCCAGCAGGGCTCCAGTAAAACCCTTCTCACTGCAGTTGTTACTTTCATCATTGGCAGTTTGTGAGTGCAGCCCCAGCAGGGCCTGATGCTCACAGTACTTTGGAGTCACCTCTCACCCTCACCCCTCTCTACTTTCACATATTCAGTCCTGCAAATTCTTCTTCTTTTTCTCTTTTGAGTGTGGTAGGAAAAGTCAAACAACTCATGAGCACCGAATCCATAACCCTTTCTTGTGTCTTTATGGCTTTAGAAGAGACTAGCAAGCCTGAACCCCAGCTCCTGCAAGTTTCTGAATGAAGTTGAACCTGTAGGAACTGGTAGCATTCGGTACCTCACTTATTCAGTTACACATTCATTAGTTTTACTGCTTCCTTTCAGAAGAATTCCTGTTCTCCAACGTAATATTTTCTGATGTACTTTCTGTTGCAAAAGTCAGTTCTCCTTTCAGACCTGTATAAATCAAATCACTCCAATGAGGTCAATAGAATTTCACCATTACAGAATGATGAGTTCAAACCCAGGCCTTTTAAACCTGTGGGTTCCCTTGTAAACTGATGAATGATTTGTCAGTTCCCAGGTCTCCTGAGCTATCCTCTGCTTTCAAGGAAAGTGATATTTATATAGATCCACATCCATCCCACACAAATTTCATTAAACAAAACTTTATGTCTTCTCATTCTTCTTATCTCCCACGTTTGTATTCTCACTCTAGGGAAGGGCCTTCAGGCTGCCTGCTGGGGGGTGATAATTTCTGTCACAGTTGTTTAATGTATAAAATAAGCACATTATATTCATTTTGAATACAAAGCAGCTGATAAACATGAAGCTTCAACAAGGTTTCACCAGTTCTTGGCATAGTAGGCATTACTCCTCTGTGCACTCTTCCTTTCATTCACTATTTCTGATATTCCTTTTTTCACGTTATCCATATAATTCAGTCTGCCATTATGGCAAGTAAAAGCAGATGTTTTGTTTTTAATATGATCATTATTTAAATGTATTTTAAAGAGTAAAATAAATAATATTTCTTCAATTGTGAACTAAGTCATAGCATTCAGGAAGCACTGTTCCTTATGACATTTTCCTGCTAACCATATATAAGGTGAAATTACAGTCTTTAACATCTAGAAATATCTGTGATCATCAAGACTCATATCTAAGCTTTGGTTTGCATGTTTGTTTTTCTCAATGGTTTCTTCATGGTTAATATTCTAATAACTTACTGACTGCCAGAGACTGCACAGGGGTAATATGTTTTGATTTAAATACTGTGCATTTGATTTGAGAAAATTACTGTTTCCATCCTTAATACTAAAAACATATCCTTGATGCTTCAAATGAAAAAAAGAACTTCCCTGCTTGTGTATTTTAAAGTAAATCTATAAATATATTAATCTAGTGGCTCCAATTATAAATAGAATTCTGGGTTTGTAACCATCTTTTAAAATGCTTCTCTCTAATAACTCATTCATTTTGGTTAGCATTTCTAAAGAGCATTTCAAGACTGGGACTACCTCATGGCATACTTGCAGAGAACCCTAGCACAGCACATCAGACCTAAGGAAATGCTGCTGAATTATTTCATGGGTATCCATTCATGGGCTAGGTTCTTACAGCTAACATTCAATTTAGATCAGGGATTTAGAAGAAATTTTAAAATAATTTAATAAAAAATCCCATGTATTTAACTCTCTAAAAAAATCATACCAGTGTCTGAATTTTCTGTTTTTCCATTGCCTACTTTGTGTTTGTTTTCACAGGTCAAAGTCCCACTGCCCAGTGTCATCATATTCAAGTTCTGCAGTGACCTGTAAGTCTCTCACCTCTAAATTTTCTGTTGCAATAGAACAGCTGCCTGAAAACTGTTGTGGTCACCTCATGAATACTGAAACATGTCTTTCATTGAACTGTCTTTAAATGTTGTATATCAGGGTAAGGTTTGTCTTGTTATGTTGAATGCATGTAGTTCAAGCATGTATGCTTATAGTATAATACAGATACATTTTTAAATCTAGCCTATGATAATCTAATTCATTGCATTTTAAATGGAAGAGTCACAGCTTATCAAATCTACTTCTGCTTCTGAAAGTACCCTTACTCTAAACCTTTTTCTTTAAACTGGTTAAATCAGAACTGAAAGTTATCAAAGAAAAATGTTACATTTGCCCTTTGATGAACAATTACCAAGCATTACATGTTCAGAGTAAAAAATGGATAACATTTTATTTTATGAGTCCACTAACTAATAGTGAATTAGAATAAAACTCCCGTGGGAACACATTTGACATTCACATGAATAACAGATGAGTTCATTATGATCCCCAGCTTATAAAAAGAATGGCAAATGAATTCATAATTATTAAGCATTTAAAAATAACACATTTCCCCAAAAGATACAATTCTGCATTAAATACCCGGCTATAGTTCAGCTGCAGGGCTCTGAAGAACCTGAACTGAAATGGTAGCACAAATGATTTGGTCATTCACCACATTCTTTAACTGCTTGGTAGCCAAAGAAATGAAGATTTATATGCTATTTAATGCCTTTGAATTAATTCTGAAATTTTGAGATTAATCTTGCTTCCAAAGCAGAGAATACAGATTAGATACATGGTGCATGAAAGGATTATGCTGGGTCTATGTATAAAGAGGAGGATTACAGCACATATGGCTACTGACATGTACTCATGTTATAAGTGCCTGTGGGCATCTCATTTGAAATATATATTAGAGTTGAATTTTGTAGGGTTTTTTTTGTTGATAGATATGTGGTTGTATATATGACAAATACCATTCAGGACAGTTATTTTGCTAGAAGTGACATTCTCAAATACTTGCCAAGCTGTCACATTAGCATACTGCTCTCAGCCAGGCAGGAGACAGCTCTTCCATGAATTGAACTTCTGCCCTGTGATGACTTTAATAGCACAGGGGTCCCAAAGGTTGCCTTGTCTGCCAGGCAGACAGAGAAGTAAGAGATGCTGAGAACAAAGTTCTGAAAACAGCACAGAGGACTTGCAGAAGAGAAGGGAGATGAGTAAAATCCTGTTCTTTGAACTACTTGCACCAAGGACATAAACAGAAAAGAGAAGTAGATCAAATTAAGACTGTTCTAAATGCTGTTAGCACTAAGCAGGGGCAAAATTCTTGTGTCCCCAAATCTTACATAGATCTTGATAGCCTTGATGGAAATGGAGGGAAGAAGATTGTTATTTTCTATACACGTTCTGACCCCATAGGTAGCCCTCCTTGGTTATCCAAGGAATAGAGAAATAATGCCATATGTTACTTCTGTATTCCTTTTCCCAGTATAGAGGTAAGGAGGTGTGTGGAAGACCTTGTGCACATGTAGATTTTAAAATCACGTTGTTAGTACATTTTCCCAAGTTCCCTTCTCCTTAGCAGCAGCCCAGGCTTTAACACAGCTGTGTTGCCATCAACTGTGTTATCATGCTGATAATCAGGAGGGGAAAAAAGCCACATCAAATGTATTCATATTTATCTCACTCAGAGGTCTGAAGCTGCAGCCTGTCATCAGGTGGACTCCATGAGAGACCTGGGCTGTGGACTTGAGAAAAAGGATTGTAAAACCAAAAAATGCAGAGCAGGGAGGAAGTACAGAGGGAAGGGTCTCAAGATTGTGGAGGGTGAGGGATGTGCTATACAATCATGAAAAGGGTCATGAAGACTAGAAACATATTAATCAAAACAGAATTCTGTAACAGAATTGTACACCTTTCTAGTCCAATTATTTAGTTGTCACTACTAGGGAAAAATTAACCAAAATGTCAGAAAAGCCACGTGTACTATACAGTGTTTGTGGAGAAGTTTGTGTAATTATTTGAGAAACTGTTAAATGAAGATCAAATGATGTCTTTCTGCTTTGGAACAAGAATCACCAGATGAACTTTAGAAGTTGCATAGTTGTCAATGAAAGAATGTGCTTTATACACTGCTGAATCACATTGCTTTTAATTTTAAAAGTCTACTGGCACTATCTCATTTAACTTCTGACTTGATCTGGGTGGGTAGAGTTTGGATGGATATCCAGACAACAAAGGCTGAGCTGATGCTTCAAAGGAAGGTGAAAAATACCCAAGCCTAAATCCAACAGATAAAAACTAAATGTGTATCAGGGAAACTAATTGTGCATCAGGTAAACTACCTCATTCCTTAGGCCTGTGGATTGCTGGGTGAAGTATGTGGTTTGATTACAATTATTGCCTTAATGCAGAGTTTCAATTCTTTTATGGGTCCCATGAGGACAATGCAGGAAACCTGTTCTGTCTGTGATGTATGAAGTGAGGGCTATGAACCCTTGGATTCACAGATTCCAAGACTAAGGAGATGATAATAGCCATGCATGCTAAGTGTGCTGCATACAGCTTTTTTCCCTTGGAAGATAAATTTGAGTTTGGAGGTTCTGTTTTGTTTTGTTTTTTTCAAAGCTGATACACTATGAATTCATTACTTACAAAACTTTTGAAGTTTCTATTTTAAAACATTTAATATCTGTCAGAAAGATATTTGTTTATACACCATTTAATATTACAATGTATCTATGGTTGTCAATATTTGAGATAATTGTTATTATAAAGAAGGCCACAATAAGAGAAATGCTGTGATAGCTCTCCAACTGATGACAAGGAAAAATGTATGTACTTTTTACTTATGAAAATCTGGTGGCATTACCTTACTATAACCCCTTTGAAGTTAAGACATCAGAAGACATTTAAAAATGTTGGATAAATCACCCAAGTCAATGTCACGTCATGAGTGTTCCAACCATATCCTCCCTCACAAGGCCACTGCTGCTCATTATCCAACATCAATGTGCAAAAAATTATCATGAGAAACATTACCAGGTGGGTTTCTGTTCATTGCCAACGCATGAGATTGCAAGTAAATTATTCCAGTGTTTGCTCATAATTTGCTTGGTAAAAGCTGTAAATTAGATACTTCTGACAAAATCAGAAAACTGTGGTCACTAAGATTCTTTTTTGAAAATTAGGAAAGGAAAAATGGTAGAAATTATTTAATACTAGGAATGGGCGAGTCCTGACTAAGAGAATCAGAGGGACAGCCACCTCTGAGAAGGAAGGGCAAATCCATACAAGATTTACCTTATTTTTTAGAGGAAACAGGTACAGTTGTGAGAAAATTTGAATAATTTGTAAGGATTAAAGTCTAAGATTCAGAACGTGCTTACAATAAGACAAGTCTCAATCTGAATCACCTCAATTTGTGATAAACTGTCTTGGAGCAGATAGCAAAACATGTTTGTTCTAAATCTTATGAAACAATAATTATAGTAAGTAAAGGCAATTGGCAGTGATTGAAATACTAATGACACATTGCATTTCAAACATTTGTTTGAAGTGACCTCAGCCTGTTATTTTACTGGTAGAGAACAAACCTCTCTCAAACTGCGTTTGTCTACTGCTGAGTGCTCTGATAGAATGCACTACCCAAATTAAGTGTAATTGCTAATAATTTATTCACCAGAAGGTTTGCTATTATCAGCTTTGTTTATGTAAAATGGAGATTAAGAAATAGTTCTCTTTCTTGCAAACTGCTGTGCAAAATTTCATCTGATCACATTAGATGTTATTATCCCATAGGAATGATGGGGAGGTCTCTTAAAATAGGTGGTATTTTTACTTAGAAAATTTAAAAGAAGAAAAAAGATAAAAAGCTGCACATCATAAAGTTCAAGCTACTCGATGGCCTCTGAATGGAAGTCCTTCCTTGTCCACATTGTTGTCCTTTCTCAGTGCTAGGGAATGCATGACATGCCACTCACAGCTAACAGAAAAGATGTAGAGAATCCATTTAGTTCCTTACCTTCTGTAATTTAGGAGTTACATTCCCTAGATGATTAAAATTCAGCCATATACATCATGACATTTGTTAACATACAAATGCATTTAAGTTTATTTGTGACCTTACACCTCACTGCATGTTCACCAGTGGTACAGGAAAATGTAGTTTTGTGTTAGTTCATAATGAATTTGTTCTTACTTGCAAGTGCTGGAAATGTGGCACAATATTTTAATTTCAAACACCGGAAGAGAATTTTAAAATCCAAGTAATTTATTTTAGCAGGCTGCTCGGAAACATTTACTCTATTTTTTTATTCTAAAAACTAGAATTTATTTATTGCATATTTTACTGATTTTCTTTCTCTACCCATGAAAATTAAATGCAGAGGTTTAATGTTTTAGATCATGTGCTTTCAGGCAACTTCATACATGCTTCTGCATGTTAAAATCTCAGTAAATACAGCACCTTTTTCAGAGAAAAAAGGTCTTGAGGAAATAGCCATTCCTCTTCCAGAGGTAATTTCACAGTTGTGGAGTTTTGGCTTTGTTTTCCTGTTGTTATTCTGCAGAGATAATTGGTTGGGGGGTTATCCAAGGCTTTCTGAAAGGTCGTGCACTTGGGATTGAGGTCTCAAGCAAGAGTATATTTGCTCCTGTGCCAGAGCCAGACCAAAGAAGAAGGGAGAAGGATCCCGGGTGTCCATAGTTCAGCTAACCTGATCTCAGCACAGATTAGAGATATTTAGAGGCAGCATGTGACTGAAGAATGGGGCATGGCATCCATCATAACCATCCCATTTTTCCATCAATATGCTGGGACAAGGGTGGAGTGGTAGATGCAGGAGCCAAACCCAGCAGTCTCTGGAATTCCTGGGGCGATCTGCAAGTGAAGGCTGCTTTGTGCTGCAAACTGTGTCCGTGTGGTGCCCACCTGAGCAGGGAAACCCTTCCCGCGGGCCGTGCCAAGGGCTGCAGGAGGGCACAGCCC